GGGACACCACACATCCTCTTCATGACCTGTTTTCCTTGTTCCCTTCTGGGAGGAGGGGGCTTTGTGGTATCTGTGGCAGAACATCCAGATTCAGCCATAGTTTCATTCAATACAGCATTAACCTTGTGAACTCTCAAGCTTCCTCCTTCCATTATATATTCAAGATGGACAGTATTTAATACTTATTTGCTACATATATGTAGGGATGTGGGTCTATATGTTGTTCATAGTATGTTTAGGTGTGCGTCACTTTGAGAGCGGGCAACTAAATTTCATTTTTGATGTGTGCCGTTGTGCCCACAGTAAAAAAATTGACAATAAAGGTTATCTTATCTGAATGGTACTCTAAGAACTAAGAAGAAATTTCCTGATAAATTAATCAATGGGATGGCTTGCCTCCAGAAATTGTGAATGCTCCAACACTGGAAGTTTTTAAGAAGAGACCAGACAGACACTTGTCTGAAATGGTATAGGGTTTCCTGCCTGAGCAGGGGGTTGGACTAGAACAGAAAGAGTACAGAGAAGAGCAACAAAGATGATTAGGGGACTGGAGGCTAAAGCATATAAGGAACGGCTGCTGGAATTGGATATGTCTAGTTTAATGAAGAGAAGGAAGAGGGGGGACATGATAGCACTGTCAAGCTATTTTCCAAAGCGCCTGAAGGCAGGACAAGAAGCAACGGGTGGAAACTAATCAAGGAGAGAAGCAACCTAGAACTAAGGAGAAACTTCCTGACAGTGAGAATAATTAACCAGTAGAACAACCTGCCTCTAGAAGCGGTGAATGCTCCAACACTGGAAGTTTTTTAAGAAGAGACTGGACAGCCATTTGTCCGAAATGGTACAGGGTTTCCTGCCTGAGCAGGGGGTTGGACTAGATGACCTTCAAGGTCCCTTCCAACTTTACTATTATTATTATGGATCCTCGCACAGTTAGCCAGATGTTCTGACTGGATTTGGCATTTTGTCTACCTATCAAGTCCTTACCCAGGACCTGGGATAGGCAGATGTGGATGTTTGATGGTATTACAGATATTGTCGCAGGATGGAAGCAGTTCCTTGTAAGGCCGCCTTTTGCAATTGACTAATAGCGAATTAGTCAATGCCAATGGTGTTCAAGTGGTGTTCCAGTTGTTTTGGGATACCTCCAGGGCGGGGTATAAATCTAATAAAATCAAATCAAATCAAATCAAAGCACCCAAGGTGCCTATTACTATTGGTACTACCTTTGCTTGCTTTTGCCACCGTCTTTCTATTTCTATTTGTAGGTCTCTGTATTTTGTTATCTTCTCCAGTTCTTTCTCGTCTATTCTGCTGTCTCCAGGCACTGCCACGTCCACTATCCAGACTTTTTTGTCTTTCTTATCGACAATTGTTAGGTCCGGGGTGTTATGTTGCAGGTGCTTGTCTGTTTGAATTCTGAAGTCCCAGAGCAGTTTAATTTTATTATTTTCTATGACTTTCTCTATTTTATGATCCCACCAGTTTTTGCTTACAGGCAAATGATATTTCTTGCAGATCTTCCAATGCACCATTGTTGCTACTTTGTCATGCCGCTGCTTGTAGTCAGTCTGTGCAATCTTCTTGCAGCAGCTTATAAGGTGGTCCACTGTTTCTTCAGCTTCTTTGCATAGGCGGCACTTACTATCTGTTGCTGTCTTCTCAATTTTGACTTTATATGCATTTGTCCTTAAGGCTTGGTCTTGTGCAGCCAGAATTAGTCCCTTGGTCTCTTTCTTCAATTTTCCTGCTCTTAGCCATTGCCAGGTCTTGTTATTATCTGCTTTCCCAGCTATTTTTTAATGTACTGGCCATGTAGTGCTTTGTCTTCCCATGCCTCTATTCTGTTCTTCATTTGGTCTTTCTTGTAGGCCAGTTTGGTCTCTCCAGTAGTCAGTAAGCCTTCCTGATATACTAATTTCAGTGCATCTTCATCACTGTCCTTCAGATATTCTTCCAAAGCCATTTTTTCTTCTTCAACCATCTGATGTACTTACAGCATTCCACGCCCACCTATTGAGCAGCGATTCTATTTCAGATGATGTTTTTCCATACAGCTTCAGATCATCCATGTAAAAAAGAGGCGGGATACTCTGGCAGATGTTTTTGATGTTTGATAGCCATGTCCTGAGTTATTCAGTATTGTTGACAGAGGAAACAGTGCAGTAATAAATAGTAATGATGATAATGAATCTCCTTGAAGTATTCCTCTCTTGATGTTAACCTTTCCCAGTCTCTCACCATTGACCTGCAACTGTGTCTTCCATTGTGCCATCAATCTTTGCACAAATTTTCTGATGTTTCTACTGACCCCTATTATTTCTAGGCATCTGATTATCCAGTCAGGTGGCAAATGCCTTTTTGTAGTCAATCCATGCCACATTCAGGTTGGTCTTCCTTTTCTTGCAGTTTTCCAAAATCATTTTGTCTATTAGGAGTTGATCTTTTGTTCCTCTGCTATTGGGTCGGTTTCCTTTCTGCTCAGGTGAAAAGAGATTGTTTTCAATTAGATGCTGTTGTACTACATCAGCTACCATACCAGTTAGCAATTTGAAAGTTGTTGGTAAGCAGGTAATTGTCCTGTAGTTGCCTGGTGTTGCCCCTTTTGCTGGATTTTTCATTATTAGATAGGTTTTCCCAGTTGTTAGCCACTTTTCAATTTCTCCTCCTTGTAGTATATTGTTGAACTGTTTGGCAATGAGTGGATGTATAACAGTTAGATGTTTCAACCAAAACCCATGCAGTTCATCTTCACCTGGTACTGACCAATTTTTGATCTTCCTTGCTCTTTTTTCTACCATTTTTGTTGTTATTACTAGTTCTTTCATTTCAACTTCTGTTTTATTTGCATCCACCTCTTTTAACCAAGCTGCATCCTTGTTGTATTTCTTTGGGTTATCCCATATCTGCTTCCAGAACTGCACTGTTTCTTCCTTGTCAGGTACTGACTGATTCATTGC